GGCATGAACAAAACCATATGAACGCTGTATATTGAAGAAGCTGTAAAAAGGAGGGCTCTAGAATGTCCAGTCATGGAGGATGACTGCGGAGGTCAGAGTTGACAAATAGCCCAGAAATACATGAACAAATGCAGAGCTAGAGAGTTCTAGAACTAGAGAGCTCCACACCTAACTACATGGACTATATTAGTTTGGGAGGAACATCTGGTCTGCAAAGGTAGGATGCCACACCCTTAAAGTAACTAAAGTGCAGCAAAGTTAACCCGATGAACTTAAACAGAAGAGAGATGGTGCTGCTGGCCTGTAATCCCAGCACTTATGAGGCTGAGGCATGGGGCTGTGGAGGTCAGTCTGTGCTATATAGCAATTTACAGGCCAGCTTGAGTATGTTAGCAAGACCCTGTCTCAAATACAATACAGTGCAATACAATGCAATGTAATGCAATACATTATGGGCTATGGAGGTAGCTCAGTGGTAGAATATTTGCCTAGCATGCACAAACCCTAGGTTCAATTTCCAGTACTGTGAAAATACATACATACACACATACATAAAAGAAAAAATAAATAGGTTCTGGGGATTCCTGATGAAATCCATGCTGAAATGTTTGAGTGTACTGTACCTGAGTCCTGGCTAAATGAGAGTGTTTGCATTTGCCAATAATTATTGTTTATTCAGAGATGGAACAGAGAGGTGATTTGAAAAGACTTATCAAACTGAGTAAGCCCTTATGTAATTTTCCTTCCACATTCAAATATGTCATAGTGTGCTGCACTCTGGAGGCTTGACTTCTTATAGAAATCTATTTGTTGACCATGCATAGCTAGAACATGATGGAAGGGTCACATCCTCAAAGCCCATCCTTTAAATCCCATTTCTGGGTAGTATTGTCTTGCAGGTATAGATGTCCCTTAAATCCCATTTCTGGTAGCATTGTCTTGCAGGTGTGGTTGTAGTAGGGTAAGCTTGTCAGCCCTGGGACAGATGGATTCCTGGGGCTTTTGAGCTAGTCAGCCCTAACCTACTTAGCAGACTTTCTGGGCAGTGAGAGACCCCATCTCACCAAAAAGGTGATCAGTGCCTGAGGAACAACACCCAAGGTTGACCTCTGGCCTCTGCATACATGAACATGCAGACATACACACACACACACACACACACACACACACACACACACACATGGGTGGGGGGAGAAGGAGATGGAGAGGGAGAGTGAAGAGAGAGAGAGAGAGAGAGAGAGAGAGAGAGAGAGAAGCTTAGAACAAGACTATTACTAGATTCCCTTCCTTCCCTAGACTGATTTTTGTGGCTGCTTTGGAATACCTTGGGAAATTCTCAGACCCTTTGACTCTCAGCCAAAACAGAGGGACTTTCAGGAGGGATGTGACTTGAGTATACTTAAACAACTGAATGGCAGTGAAGCTTTACCATCTAGGCATTTGGTGCAGGCAGACATTTGCTAATAAACTTCTCAGGGCCCCCATTTAAAACTCTTGTTGAAAAACAGATTTTTCAAAAAGAATTTTCAAAATGGGCACCTTTTAATTGCTTATTATCTGAGCTTCATGCTTGTGCCTGATCTTAGGGTTCAGACACCAGTGGAAGCCCAGGAAAGCTCCACAGCTCTCAAGAAAGATTGTGTGTGTGTGTGTGTGTGTGTGGGAGAGAGAGAGAGAGAGAGAGAGAGAGAGAGAGAGAGAGAGAGAAAGAGAGAGATTGCCATGGCCTGTGTGTGGAGATCAGAGAATAACTTTCAGGAATCAGTTTCTCTCTCCTACCTTGTTGAAGCAGCATCTCTCTCTTGTTTCTGTTGCTGAGTACTCCAGGCTAGCTGGCCTGTGAGTTTCTAGATAATTCTCCAGTCCCCACCCCCTTCCCAACCCAGTAGTGCTGGGTTACAGACCTGTGCACCACTGTATCTGGCTTTTGTGTGAGCTACAGGGATCAAATTCGGGTTATCAGGCTTGCATGGCAAGTGCTTTTACCTGCTGAGCCATTTTACCTACTCCAAGAAAAATACTTGTTCTTATGAAGGTTGCTGATAGAGTAACAAAGGCGTCTAAATTAATGGATATGTTTTGATTTCCCTTCCTGGTCCTTTCCATTCTCCTGCATCACAGCCTCCAACATCTACAACAATCATGAAAAAGTCACAGCATTGATTCGGGGCCTACCCACTGCCAGTAATATTTAAAGGGCCAAGACTAAACGCATTTATAAAATCTCAGTCACTGATCTAAGTCATTTATTAGAGTCCTAAGTCAAGAATTTTCATCATCTCTATTTACTAATGAGGTACATACTTGTCCAAGGTAGCCCAGCTAGTAAGTGACAGAAGGAAGATTTGAAGATGGTGAGGCTCCAGTGCCTATCGCCTACCTGAATTATTCTTGGTCAGGCATATAGTTGGGGAGCAATATCACAGAAGTTTTTAAAATGTCATTTCATCAAGAATTTTGCCATTAGACAACAGGCTAGTCCAAAGACAATTTGGAAATGACAAACTGGTTTGCACTTGATTATCTTTCAGCTTCAGGCCAAGCTAGAGTTCAGAGGTCAGATGTCCGGTTGCCTTCAATTAAGGTGGCTGAGGTTAGAGTCCAAGAGGCCAAAATTAATGTCCCCAGTTGACGTACATTGTCTATCCAGGAGCCATAATCGTGTTCACACACAGCCCTTTGGTCCTCTGCCAGGCCTGTTTCATAAAGAAGGAAATGGAGGTACAGGTTACCTAATGTCTCTCTGGGGACCACATGCCTAAAGAGAGCCAGGGCCAGGACCAGGGCTGAGGAATTCTGACTTTCCACTTGGGTCAATTTCCATTCTCCCCTTAAATTCCATGGCTATCACCATATCTGCCAATCTTGGAAAAGCCATTTCAAAGCCACTTCTTTTTAGAGTCTTTAAATTTGTTGTCCATCCTCTGTTAGTCTCAAAGTTGCACCTTCAAAAACATTTGCTTGACATCACAGCAGAGTAGATGGGTTCCAGTTCATGCTTTAGACCTGCCGATGGGTTTGTTGACCGAGAAGTGATCCTTGAGATAGCAATGCATTTATATATAGCTGAGTATTTTAGCTAAGTGAAAGTGAAAATAAGCACTTTCGGTCTTTGTGAGCACTTGTCACTACTGTCATTCATGAAGAGTGAAAGGCAAGCCATGAAACCAGTTGGCTTCAGACCACCAGAGGCACCATGGGAAGACCAATCTATCATAGTTAAAAGTTAAACATTAGTTACCTTTCCCCATGACACGATCGAATAAGCACATTAATAGTTCATAGAAGGGGTTGTGAAACCTCCTTAGGAAAAATAATATTATGTAACCCATTTAGAGGAAAGCCTGCTCACCACCCTCATCTAAGTGGGGGGTTGAACTGCATGGCTGGAAGGTTCTTTCCTGTGTTATAATGATTATTATTTCTCAGGAAGGGTTTATCTTTTATTGCTAATTACAATTCACTCTCCTCCATTCTCTCAATCTACGTCACTGCCCACACCCAGAACCACTGTAAACATCTATCTACCTAGCACAGAGCACTAACATTCATGAGAGAAAAGAACAGCAGCCTTCTCTGCCTACCAACAGGGTTATAAACCCTGAAACATCATCAGACCAGACTTTACTGGATGTAAATTAGGGCCACTGAATATGTAGCTAAACCCCATTTAACAAGGTACAGTGAACATCAGTGATGACAGTGACTCAAAGCAAGCATTTTGGAAGATACAGTGAAAGAGGATGAGAGGTATTTACTATTATAACAAGTCTGGTTTCTTCGTAAGTAGAATCTCTTTGGAATTTAAAGCAGTTGGCAAAAATACCACGTTTCTTTCTCCTACACAATAGTCACTTGCTATAAGCAGGCAGTAAGGGCACTTGTGTGTATATAAACCTTAAATTGTTATAAATATCCTCCTTTTATGATTACTGTGCTCATTAAATATGTATTAAACAGCAGGGAAGAATGCTCCAATATGAGATTAAATGATGGGCAGGCAGAATGTGAAATTCTACATAGAATAGTAATTAAAGTTTTCTTTTGATTATAAAAACATGGTCTTGAAATAAACAAAAGAGGCAAACATGAGCCCCAAAGGCAACACAGGTGGGCTTGAGGCCCATTTACACTTTACTTTATAAGGAGAGTGGCTGAGTAGTTTAATGCCTATGAACCTTCATTTCCATATTATAAAATGAGCATGACAAAGGAGTTTATTCAGAAAGTCACCAAAGATCAAATTGATGCTTATATCACATATAGCCACAGTAAATATTCAACTAGGCCAGGTATTGTATTCATTGCTAATAACTAATGCCTGTCAAAAGTTAAATTTGTATCATGCCCTGCCTGGGCTTTATTCCAGTGGGTCCTTGTGTTAATTGCTTTCTCTCCATTGTTCGCTGTGACAGAATACCTGACAGAAACAATTTAAGGAAAAAAGGATCTATTTTGGTTCACGGTTTCAGGAGTGACAGTCCACTGTAGTGTGGAAGGCGTGTAGTGTGGAACTGTCACATGCAGCTATCCTGAAAGCAGGAGTATGTGCCTGAGACACCTCAAATCTCAGCAGACCAGGAAGCAGAGAGAGCGCAGGCAGGAAGCTGGCTGAGCTATAACCGCAAAGGCCTGTCCTTCAGTGACCCACTACCTCCAGCAGCCCCACCTCCCAAAGGACCAGAAGGGGCATTCACATTCAAACAATAATAGTATGATTATTTCCATTTTACCAATGAGAAAAATAAGTTGCACAGATTTTTAAAAGCAATTTTATGCAGTTGTCACACAACTACTAATGGTAGGGCTAGGATTTGAACCCACAAAGTCTGGGTCAAACTCCTTTTGTTAGCTATTATAACTACACAAGAGTATTTCTCAGGTCATTTTATTTAATTCATGACAGGTCAGGTCAGTGTTACAGAAAATTGGCAGCAAAAATTCAAAACAATGTGCACAAAGTGTTTCTAACCAAGACCTGAAGATTTCTCTTTTTCCAGCAACAGAAAATGCCATCGGAAAACTAACAAAAATGAATGAGTCATGCTCTTACACGTCTAGTTCCTTTGGATATGAAGAGGCAAACCAAGAACATCACAAGCCTGGAACTGAGGTAATGGTAACAGTCAACGATCACAGAGGAGCTGCTAAGGTGCAATGCAGATGGCCTTCTTTAGAGCAGTTTTGCAAGGTAAATCAAAAGCCTTAAGAGGCACTACCTCCATTCAGCAATTCTACTTCTAGGAGTTTATTCCATGCAAAGCAATATACAACATGCTCACTTAAAGATTTTTTTTTAATAGAAGGTAAAAGAGACTGTATTACATATATGGGCATGTGAATTCATTATGAAGGATGGCCATAATGTGTATGCAAAGATTCATCAACAAAGACATTCATGATAATAACTAGTGAACAACAGGGACAGAAAAAGGAAAGAAAGAAGAAAGGAAAGAGGAGGAAGGAAGAAAATGATCTCAGATGTTAAAAAGAAGGAATTAGTTGACTAAATTGCTATGTAGGTATAAAATGTGGACACTATGTTGTAAAATCTATGAAGATCATGTGGAAAAGAAGGTACACACTTTAAACATTAGTAGTCAAAACCTCAGATTTGTGGCATTCAAAGTGAATTGTGAATTTTGCTTTATTTTCTTTGTGCTTTTCTGTGTTTCTCAAATTTTCTGTATTAAGCATTCATTAGTTTTGTCACAAGGAAAAACATATTATAATAAGTAAAAATAAATGGTTATGTTAGTGTGAAAAAATATTTGCATCTGTATTAGTCAAGATTCTAAAGTACAAGTGACAGAAAACCCAGCTCAACCTGTTCTAGTAGGTGGCAAGTTGTTGTTTTACATGTTTCGGGCATGGCTAGATTCAGGCCTCACACAAGGATCCTAGTATCTCCTGTCCATCTCGCTTCAATATCACTGCATTTTCAGAGACTCCACATTTGGTAACAGACATGTCCACAAAAATATTTATATGCTCCCTTAGTAAAAGCAGTTGTCTTCTCAATAAGAATTAAAAGTCCTATTTTCACAGAGCACCTTAAGATCACATATCCCTTCCTGCTCTAATCAAATGGCCCCATGTAGGGATTTCCCTGCCTGGTTGTACCTGGGCCATGTGCCCATCATGAGAACAACGAGCTGGAGTCAGCACGGATAGCGGGGAGTCAGATGAGGAAGACTGGCTCCCTAAGAGTCCCCAGTGCTCCATAAAAGAGGAGGGAGGAATACTAAGAGGCAACAACAGCAACAAAGAAACGAAAACGCCCTGACCATAAGACTTCAGTTTCTTTAGATGTTGACTTGTCCTGGCTGGAGGAGAATGCACAGCTTTGAATCACTTAGGTCTGTAGTGATTACAAGTGACAGAAAACAGGGACGTTATTTCTTCACGTAACTGAAAGTCTAGCAGCAGAGCTGAGCCTAAGTGAGTCTAAGGCACACAGGATCTGGAATCTTTAATTGCTCCAGTGTCAACTGGCAGCTCTGGACTCTCACCCCACAGGAACAAGCTGCCCTGGAGGCACCACACAGGACATTGCTACAGCTCACCATGCATGATTGCCAGGAACCTCTGCTACTGTTCTCCAAACAAATCCTTGTGATTGAACCTCTTATGAGCCCAAATGGGATGACTGGCTGAGCCCTAACCAATCAATGTGGCTTGAGGAAGATGTGTGATTGGCTTAAGTCAAGGAGAGTCACGCCTGACTGGGTCAAGGAGAGTCAGTCACTCCTGGGTGGTCCCACCCAGACCACCAATGAGAATGGAAGAGTCTCTTCCCCAGGAAAAGCCACACTGGAGAGGGAGAAGCCAGAAAACTTTTGTCAAACTCCAGAGAAGGATGGTGAGCTTTAAATTCTAGCAAGTGCTCCATTTTCAATGGGAAATATCTATCAAAAGTACCTCTTGCAGGAGGGTCAACACAGAGGAATGATTTCCTCCATGCTTCCAAGCAAAGCCAACCATGGTCAAGCAGGACCTTTGATTTATCTTCACATAGGTGGAACTGGTAAAAGAAAGGAGCCAGCGGCTCCTCCCAAGCCCATGTGACCCCTGAGGAACAGATCCTCAAACGACCTTAAGAGTGAAAATGAATCTTAAGGCTGGACCAACTGTACAGCCTTAAATACCCCAAAGGAAAGTATAACCAAAGATTAAATGGGCCAACATAATTTCCTAAGAGTCCATATGTATAACTAAAGGCTACATAACAAGCAACAATACTAGACAAGTGATACCTTCTTTTGAGTTGATGGCCAGGGTGGCCAAAAGGATTCCCATATAGCAACCCAGCATAGAACTGGGAAAATGAACAACAGACCCCA